GATATTATGGAGGTGTCTGTATTTTAGTTGTTCTATGCCTTGCTTGTTGTTTTAGTATTTACTTGCATACTTGCAGCTGCAAAGCATGTTGCTGAGATGGCCATTTATTAGCTGGGCATACAGTGGTGTGATCTTTTCCTACCCCACAAAAGTGCCACTGTTGTCGGGTATTAATTTAAATTAAAAGCATCCAGCACCAAACAAAGCAAGTATTTTGTGTATTGTACTAAGATGTCTTCAGGATGGACAGAGCAGCCTTGGTTACAGGCTGCACTGATATAGTTCAAGACTTCAGACTTTAAAAAAGGAAACAAAAAAAAAAATAGTGGTTTGGTGCATTATACTATTCTCCCACCCACCTAATGGAAGTTGAGGGTACACAAAGTAATGGGACTGGTGTTTGCTACACACAGATGAGCTTTTTGATATTCTGGAGTAGGCACACAAAGTTTCTGCCAGTAATACACAGTGAAGGAATTAACTTTTTAAGCGATGCATGTGTGCTTAGCAGGGTTTCTAGTAGCTTGAAAAGGCAGTTTGAGTGTCTGCAAATAGCCGCTTTCCTTAAACAAAAAAGAGAGAGGTCTGACTGCTAAAATAACTCAGTTCTATTTAAACTCACGATTTGGTGTTTACAGTTGGAAGGACTCAAATATTCCAGGAAGCCGTTGGAAGCAGATTTCCGTTCAGTTAAACCAAAAGTGAAACCAGGTAGCAGGACTTGGACATGAAACGTCTTCTGCTGGAGAAGTGCATTTTTAAAAAAAATAAGTTGTTGCACTGACCTAGATACACTGACACAGAGCCACCAAGACTTCTGTGTCAGGTTATAGCTGTGTCTGTAGCTGCAAGCATAATGATGGAGTGATTGTTTACTTCTGTAAACAAGGCAAAGCTATATAGTTTCCGTCCGCAGTAGTAAATCTGAAGTTTGACTATCATATTATTCTCTTTAGAGATGAAAACAAGACTGATCTTAACTGTCATTGTCTAACTGTGTAAGCACAAGCTCAGCTTTATTGATAACTTGTTTTTGTGCAGAATTGCTGCTGACAAGGGGAAGGTAGGAGGCCTGAGCAGTTAACATTGGGAACTCAGCTGGCCTCATGCCAGGCTCACTAGAGCACTCTCTGCCACAGTCTCCATGAAGCTCAGTGAAAAGCTTCTACAGCTGAGTGTGGCACTGGCATTGTGGAGATCGGTGAATAGGGATCAAAAAGGTGACAGTGGTTCCGTAGCTGGAAGATGAGGAACTGAACCTAGGACGAGGGGAATTGCCATCTGTCTGTTTCACAGTGCAGGTACTAGTAAAGATACAGAAACCACAGCTCTATTACAAGCTGTGCCTTACACAGGCTGTCAGTGAAATGACTCTTCTGATGATGTCCTTGGTATGCTCAGATTGGATTTCCAGAGCTGTGTATGCATATATACCTACATCATTTTGGTGTGATATTTAATACCTTCTACAAATACTTTTGTCACTGTGTAAAACAGTGTGGTACTCAGCTAATGCAACTTCACAAAATCAGATGATATTCCACTGAAAAATGTTGGGATCTCTGCATCCATTTTAATAGACTTGAAATGCTTCTCAATTTCATTGTTTTATGTTTGTCTTCCTGCTTATTACATGGATCCTAAAGATTTTGTGTTCATAACAACTTTGAAAGCTACTCTGGTGGTTCCTTCTGTAATCTTGCAGTTGTTTTTTGTGTTGGGACACTGAAGAAAGACATGATGAGAAACAAAAAAAAACTTTGGCAAAAGAGATAAAGCTGAAATGTCATCTCCAAAAATGGTAGTGGGGTACCCAGGAAGACTGACTGATTCACCTCAGGACTCATTCATTGGCCAAGTCTTGTGAATGAGAAATAGAGTATGGCAGAATTATGCATAACAGCAATCTGCTTCTTACATTTTGGGAAAACCTGTCACTCATTTGGTCAATTACATTGTTCAATAAACTTATGTTTCGAAACAGTGCCAATCTGCATGTGGTGTTTCTTGTTAAGCCTGGAAGAGAGTATGTGGTTCTGGGGGGGAAAAAAAAACCCCTAAAAAATCATCTTCCCTTTACAGTCAAATTACTGCAAGGAGGTTTTAGGAGGTGTATCTCATCACCTTGTCTTTTATTAATGGCAAAAGGGTGGTATCTCTTAGAGCTGCTTTGTGTTTATAAAAGTAAATTGCTTATTCCTAATAAGGTTCTTTCTCCTGTATTTGTAAGTAGTGTGTGTGAAGGTTGTACAGCTCTAACTCTGCCAGCATTGCTTTTCTACAGGTAATACCAATAATGACAGTAGAACCATTTTTTAAATTTCTTTTTTCATTCTCACATGGGCACTGAAACTGTTTTGGTGCTTAAGGACATAGTGTGTTACAGACAGTATTTCCTGACCATGACCTTCAAGGAACAACTAGTGTAGAGGTTCCAGGCTGTAGAGGTTGGTAGAGCCACCTCCTATGGGCTCTCTGCATGTGTCTGTCCCATAGGCTCAGTACCACTGGCAAAAGTTTTATATTAGATTTTCATATCAAGCCCCCAAGTATTGAAGTAAAGTTGCTTTAAAACCAGTTTATTCAGTTATAAATGAACATTCCAAAGGTTGCAAGCAGCAAACTTAAGTGCATTTTCTTTATACCTTAACTTCTGCCTAGTGTTGTGTTCCTTATGGAACAGGTTTTTTGTTGTTTTAAGAGTTTTTTGATGGGTTTGGGGGTTTTTTTACTTGTTTGGGGTTTTTTTTTTGTTTGGGGGGGTTTTTTTGGTTGATTGGTTGGTTTCTTGTTGTTGTTACTTACTAGTAGTGTCTAATTGTTGTACTACTAAGTGTTTGGCAACTAGGAGGCCTGGAAGTACACAGAATGATGAACCTGACTGTAAAGCTGGGAATCTATTTTCTGAAAAGAGAATTTATTTGTAATACACTTTCTGCAATTTTGAATAGGTCTTACAGGGCAGAGGAACCTTTAAGTCAGGAGAAGACTTTTTTTGAGAAGGTGTGGTGTCTTAAGCCTTCATCTTTGTTGCTTGTGTAGTCACACAACTGTGCTTTTAAAGGATGCAAAAAAAGTCCATCTGGGATTTTAGATTATTTCAATTTTCCTTCGATTTGCTCTTACTAAATAGTATTGAAATTTCCGTTTTAGCTGAAAATTTTAATCACTCAAATCATTTACCAGACCAAAGCATTAGAGCATAACAGAATATAATTCAATCTTGCAAACCCACTATTATTGCAAATACCATTTTAATATCTAGTTTTGCTTTGCTCTTTAGTAAGAATGAAAAGTACCATTTTATTTTCAATCATCAATCCTCCCTTTCTCAGGAGAGCAAAATACTGATGCTGTTTCTCTGAATGGGTGGTTCCTTAACTATTTGATAGCATATGAAATGTTTTAAGCAGGAAGTGCTTAATAACAGATCTTTTGCAGTGGCATGTCTGATTTGTATGAAACATTGCAGTAATTGGCTTCGTTGGTACTGTCTGAGTGAACTTTAAATGAAAGTGACAGTAACTAGTCCAGACTTTTTTTCTTTTTGTTCAGGGCAAAACTATGAGACAGTAAGTGACTTACTGGTTTTACTGCTTTCAATTAGCAACCCAATTTTATACTCATTTAATTATCATTTAATTGGATTCCCCCTTTACACTCAGAGCCTGGCAGCCAAACCAGCTGATTTAGTATTTGGCACAGCTGAGAGGGTGAATATTTCTTCTATAAATCTTTCTCTAGAGGATATGTTTCTGCCAGCTTAGAAACTCTTCTCTGGAACTGGCAATTCTGCTTTAATATCTTCTTTCTAGCCTCATTTGTGCTCAACTCTGAATCCACTATTTGAGTAGTGGTTATAACTGAGGGGCCTGAAGCCTCCACTGTAAAGGTTTAATGTAAACTGCAACCAGATAGGGCATACAAACAGTTCTTAAATTAGATTCAAAAAGGTAGTGTTGGTATATGTGTAAGTTGTCCCTGTAACTGTTCCAAGAGATTAATTGTCATGTCCTTACGTGTTCTTAGTGGAGGGGGAATTAGTGTTGTAAACTGACCTTTGAGAGTAAACTAGAGGACAAGGCAGGAGTTGGGGATGCTTTTAAAAAGAGACTGGAAGGCAGAAAAGTCGATGGTTTAGGGAGTGGAGGAGAGGTAGCACATTGAAGCCTTGCTGGACTGGGAGAAGTGGCCCTTTCTATGCCTTCAGCTACAGCCCTCTCCCCTCTGCTGGCAGACTGAGGAGGCAGGAAAGCTCCAGTAAAAAAAATGAGGAGGAAATAGGACAGACGTGTTGCTCTTCTGTTACTAGTCCTGAACTCAAAACATGGGTAACATCATCCTCTCTGGAGCCAATTGCATATGTGGGCTTTAAAAAAAGGTCCAGCGTCTCGTGGCTGGACTTCTCTTTGCCAGCTTGGGGCTCCTCTGTAGTCTGTTTTGGGAGTGGGAAGGGAGGGCTGTTTATATAGATGTTACATTAGTTAGCAGAGCAGTCTCTTGTTTAACCTCCTTCTGTAATCCTCAGGGTTAAATGTTTTCAGCTCATAGTTCAGTTGCAGTTATTTGTAGCTGGCATTCACATTTGCTCTGTAATTCAATTTAGATGATGCTGCTTGGCCTAAATTGCAGCAGACTAGTAGAAGGAGCTTGGTGCATGTAGAAACCGATCGCTAACTCCATGGTTAAGGTCATCCAAGTAGAGCTGTAAATATTTCCCCTCAGTTTTAAAGTACAGTTGTCTGGCTTGAATTCACTTCAGGAATTGTGATTGATACTGTCAGATCTTATTTGTCAGATTTCTCAATCACTGAAAATGCTGACTAACAACCTTATTGTCGTCACACAAATACTGTAATGTTCTCATTAATCCAAGTGGTTTCAGTTCCAGCTGTTTGCTAGTTATTTATTTATTAAAGTCTATTTTCTGAATAGCTTCCAGCTACACATTCTTCAGAGAAATGAGATTTTATTCATACATGTATCTACTTATAGGTGAGGAATTTGAAACTGGAGCATGAGCAGGAGAAAAACAAGATCTTGTCAGAAGCATTAGAGACACTCGCTACTGAACACCATGAACTAGAGCAGTCTCTAGTTAAGGGATCTCCACCTCTCAGCATCCTCAGTGAAGAGCAGTTCTATGATGCTCTTTCAGGTAAGTAATGATGCTCAGAATGTGAGTGTGCATAGCCAGCATGTGTGTGGTGAATGCCTTGCAGGGGGGAGGGGATGGTAACAGTCTCACTGTAAGTGAAATCTCTGCCTTTCTAACATGAACCTGATTTTAGGAGAATGCTTTATGTGCTTTATGAGCAGAGCTCTAAAAATTTGCCAGAGTTCAGCTTTAGATTTGTATTGTCTCACCTTAGCATGACAAAAGGTTACAAAACCACAGTGCAGTTATGAAAAGTATGATTGCTTGGGTGCTATGCCCTCTTTTTTAAATAGCAAAACTTAAGACTCCTATTTTGGGGAGAGGTAACTATCTTGTAGCCTTCTGACTTGATTTGTCCATAGTGGTGTGTGTATTTTCCTTCGTTCTGTTGCTAAGATCGGTCCATAAAAATCCCTAGTTTTGAGGGATAATGAGGTTAAGAAAGGCTTGTTCCATTTCAGTTATGTGTACCTGAAGTGTTACAGGTGAAAGGATGAATCAAAATCCTGTGTGCATTTCTGAAATGTCTCTTCTTTCCCTTTCTGCTCTTCAGTATCTTTCATATTTTCATATGCAGAACATGCAGATAGTGATTTTGGAAGGCTCTGAACTGCCTGAGATGATTACAACATGCATTTGTATAGAGATGCTGTATATAGTGCAGCTCAATAATAGCTCTAACTGTGCGGTCCTGCAGCACACAGCTGTCTACAACTATGAAGGATCTGGAAAAGCTTGAGGGTGAACATACTCTGACCATAGCAGATAACTAGGTTGTGATGGCAAACTTCATGAGCAAGTATGGGGTTACTTGTGCAAGCTGTACTGTCTGATGCTTCAGTCAGATGAGAAAAGCAGTGGTTCTCAGACTCCTTGATAGGTGTTCTGCAGGGAGAAACTTAAGCAGAGAATAAAAACAGTCAGAGTGGAGTCTATGCACAGAAGCATAGCAGATCAACAGCAGGATTTGCTGCTTGGCACAGTAACAAATTTATCAAACCTTCAAGGAGGGGAAGAGACTAAGGAACACTGGAAACAGGTTCTTTCACCAGAACCAAAAGAACAAACATGCTGAAAGGCCTCAGGCTCTTTTGATTGTCAGCAAAGCAGCTGACAAAGTTCTTTATCTGATGCTGCTGGAATGTAGTTTCTCTAGCCAGGCTTGCGTCTTGTATATCAAAGAATATTCAGCTTTAAGAGCTGTTAGTCTATGCATCTTATAACTGACCCAGTCTTTAAATATTGTTAAATTAGTGTCCAAAGCCACCTCTCTAGTTGGCAGGGGTGTGGTGATCTTGTCCCTGGAAGCTACAAACAAGTTCCATCAAGTGGATTTGTGAAACTGTGAAACTTGTAGACAGCAGATCTATATATATACATGTATATAAAAATATATATGTAATTTCTCTCTCCTTTGGGAGAAATTACTTGACATAATTCATCCTAATTGCATTTTAAATAATTTTCTGGAACAGACTCTCTTTCTTGACTGTCATCTTCATCAGACTTGTGTTAGATTCTCTTCTCTAGGTAGTTCACATTTAGTGCTTTGTGGAGATTAGGGTCCTCTTTGTCTCTGAAGGTGATGGGGGGATGGCTGGAGAAAAGGAAATGTGACATATTTTCCTGACAGCTGCATGCATGGTATCACTTTCACTCTAAGTACAAAAGGAATTGGTTTTTCATTGATGTGGTTTGGGGTGAGTTCTAAGCTTCTTGCTTTTCTGCCATGTCTGTGGAGTCTCAACTAGAACACTTCTTGACTCTGACAAGATGGCATGAAGAGCAGAGAATTTGGAGATATTTGACACTGTCTCGGAGTTTGAGAATGTTGGTCGTCTTTCTTGGGCTAATGACATGGGAAATATGACTATAAATATTTTCATAATAGAGAGCAGTGGCTGGGCTTAATAAGCAGAAGGTAAAAATTTATGTCTCCAGAAATCCAAATTGCAAGGGCTTTGTCTTCAAAGCTTTTGCTTAACCTGATTTGCAGTCCAATACTGTTTTATTAAGTTAAATTATATTGATTTTGGCCAAATAGCCGTATTAATGAATTACCTCTCTAGGCTGTATAGGAGCTTGAGCAAACACCAATGTATTTTAA